AAGGCTAGAGGAGAGATGGGGCTCTAAGGGAAGACTGGTCAATGCAGCGGCGGGCGAAGAACCTCCTTCCTGAGTGGGCGGCGACAGCGGAGCACCATTTTCCGAGAAGAGAGATAAAAGGATGGCGGCTAAGCTCGATATCTTCTCTGCATGAGAGATGGCACCGAAAAAAGACGAGGTCGACATCCGGGAGCAAGCAGCAGCAACGAGGAAGAGAGGGCGGCGGAGCCCTGAGCAGCAATGGCGTCGGAAGCATATGCGAGCAATGGTGGCAGCGAGAGCGGAGGAGCCATGAAGCGAGCAACTTCAACCGGCAAAATAGAGTTTGACGGCGAATCACTCTAAAGGCCAAAACAAGCCGCTCAACCTAACCACGACAATTACCAACGTTGGTACAAACAGGGATCACACTTCATTTTCATTCCAAAATCCACAAACACAACCAAACCAGAACTTGCACATCCCCTTCCAAAAGAACAACAAACAAACAAACAAACAAACAAACAAAACGAGCAACAGTAGTATTTCTTAAAAGAGAAAAAAAGAACATAAAAATGGTAGAGCCAAGCAAATCCCGCCAAACTGATCAGACATACAGAATGATTCCTGCAAAAGAAACCATCCTTCCATATCTCAGACGAAGTCTGCTTTATTAATGCAAGGTAACATCTGAGTTCACAACCTTTCTTGCTAAGAGTTAAAGTGTATCATCAGCTGCTCGAAAATTTAACAGCGGAGCTCTATGAAGAACGTTGTCCTTTGTAGATGTCAGCCACAGCACCAGCAGTTTCTAGAAGATCGGTCCTCATCCTAGCAATTTTTGATGCCACATACTCTTTATGTGTAGACACTGAATTAATCAAGTTAAAGAGTTCCTGAGCGCACAATTTAACCTCTCCCTCAGCTTGCGCTATTGCTGCTTCCAATTCCACCTTCGAAGTCTGTCCCAAAATATGTCAAATAATAACGTGGTAAAATAAAAATGTCCGATGCTGATCACTCGATAAAATTCAAACTCTATGCAACAACTACCCTTTTCTAAGAACCACGGAAAATAATGAAAACAATCTCCGTTCAAGCGAAGAATATGCTTTCTTGTCAATATTAAGAGAGGCGGAAGCACTTAAAAGTGATCAAAATATTGAATCATGGACACATTTCTCTGGACATGTGAAGGCAATTACTAGGTGACTTATGTTAAATCATAGATAAAGGTGAATCCAAGTTACCTTCAGAAACTCTGCAGCTTCATTTTCTACAACAGACATACTATGAGCTTCCAGGTCAACTTCATCTGCCAGTTTTCTGGCTTCTGCTGCACATCTAGAGGTATATTCATGGGTATCTTTCCTTATCATGTTCAACTGAGCTTCAACCTGTGCAATAAAGCATTTGAAAGGATATAATCTGATACCCTTTTCTCATGTCATATGATTTTCTAGCTTGACTTCAGTCGTAGAATGCAAGCCATATAAAATGTTAAATGCTCAGTGATCTTGAATAGAAGTGCCTAATACACGTCCTTAAACTAAATGGAAGAACACCAGAGTCAACAATCCCTCAAGCCTATGCCTTCCAGCAATTGACGACAATTTTCTGGTTTTGTAGATCGGCATAAAAGTTATCATAGTAATATTGCACAAAATCACAAATTTAAATACAGCAGCATTGCATGTAACAGGAAGATTCCTAGTTCTATTATCCTTAATCAATAACCTCCATTTGTTACTTATTTAAATATTTTGGATAAATCGACAAAAAACATGTGGCAATTCATTTCCTTTTGTTTATTTTTCAGTTCTGGGTTTCCTTCTCTTTTATTTCTTTGTTTTCATCTCTCTTCTTGGAAATAAACATATGTGAATACAGATGAGAAACTACCAAAAAAAAAATTAAAAAATCCTGCATTAACAAAGCAATAATGGTCTACAAGGAAAATTTAAACCAACAAACTCAGTACCAAGAACAAAGAACATCTGAATAAATATCTGATGGTTAAACTAAAAAAAGTACAGTCAGTTCTACGTCTACCTAACCCAAGCCTTAAAGACAGAGCCTTAGTGAGTAGCACAGTGGAACAGAAATAGACAACTCCTCACCTATCCAACATTCTTTTATTCATTAACACTAAGTGAGGTTAGAGATGCATGTGAAGCAACCCGATTCAATTTCATTCTAGATGCTGAAATATACATAAGGGAAAAACCAATTAGAAGTATCAAGCCGAAAATCAGCATCATCAGACTTACCTCATCAATATGCGACTGAAGAGCAGCAATATGATTCCGTCTCTCCTCAAGCATAGCAGTATTTTCACCCGACTGTTGCCGAAGAGAAATCAACTCCTCCAATTTCCCCATTGAACTTCTTTTAATGTCCTCACTGAATAAAGCAAGTGCAGGCTTCAGTACTGATTTGTAGTCTAACCCCAGCACCTCAGATGGTGTCGATCCAATGGCATTCAACTGATACTGAAATCCATTTCCAATCTTCAACCTGGAAACCAATTGCAAATCAATCTTGGAATCATGATCCATTAGGAAACTATATAATTACGTTATGGGGAGTATCTATAACCTGGAGAAGAAGTATTTACAGCCTCGCATGAAGATCTTAATTGCGCCCATATATTAACAGACCAGCATTAATGTATGATACAAAAATGACAGCTTCCACAACACTACTATGAACCTTCACGACTTAAATTCATAGGACTCATGTTGTCAACTTGGCAAAACACATGAAGATAGACAAGTAAAAATAATGCTTTAAGTGAACTTCATGTAACACAATGGAGAAGGTTCTTGCTCCATTAAACTAAAACCATTGTATGTAATATATTGCAGATACAGTGTCTTCAGGTGATGGTAAGTTGGAAGTTTTGTCAAGAAACAATAGGGTAGAACAAGAAAAGAAAAGGACTTGTATCAGGTATCTTCATCAATTAGCAGCATCCATTATGTATTAAAAGGGGTAATAAAAAATCAAAGGAATAAGTCTTTTCCTGAAATGAAATATATTATTTTCCACTTCTGACTTTGTTCCTCTGGATTCTTGTTTAAATATTTTATATTTGTAGCATTTACAAAAATGAAGAAACAAAACACAAACAAGCAGAGATTCTCAAAAATGATTGAGAATATTTACGAGCATATAGCCTTTGTCTGGTGGAACAAACCAAAGATACAGATAAGATGCTATAAGTTGTTCACTGATTCAGTGTTTACTGTCACCAACTTATTGAGGCAGTTTTCTATTTAACTCTCAAGAAAAAGTGAAAATCACATTTGCTGCGGTCTCAAGTGTTTGTTCGCAAGAAGCAGACAACAATGCACACAAGATGCATATCATTAACCAATGCATGCTCAAATACAGCATCATCAAAGCAGACAAGACCAATCAGGATCCACAAAGCAGCAGCTTACTTAGCCAAAAAACAAACAGCTCAAGTCTACTCTAGCAAACCACATCATAAATACGGCAAAGTTCAAAATGGTAACAGCAAGTCAGCAACCTCAACAAGTTAATATATTTCAAAACAAGAACAAAGGACAGAAGAAAAAAGTCATAAACCTTCTGATAGCTTGGTTACCCTCCATCACCAGCCGCTCAAGGTCCTTAAACCTGTGACCAATTTCCGGGTCAAGCTCCCATATTTTTTCCTCCCAGCCATTTCTTGCAGACTCGGTCTCCTTAATATCCCGCTCCACAGCCTGTAACTCCCTCTTCATTCTCTCAGCATCTCTCAAATTAATTCCTTGCTCCTCAACCCTCTTCTTCAACTCCTCGTTCTCCTCACAAATCTTCTTCCTGTCCTCCACTTTTGCCTCCACTGCTTTACCCTTCTCCTCCAGTTTCTTTTGCACCTCAGTCAGATGGCTCAACAACTGCTCGATCATAATATTGAACTTGGTAATATCCTTCTCCAATACGGCCTTTTCCTGCTCCAGACGTTCTTTCTGACTCGGCCCTGCCTTCATAGCATCCAATTTCAACTCCAATTCCTTCACATTTTCCTCAAAGCCCTTTACTCTCTCCTCTAGTGTATCCTTCCACTCAGTCATCTCCCTAATGCAGTCTTCATCCAGAGCATCTATTTTATCATCATCTCCACTGATGAACAGCAGGTAGCTATTCACAGTGTACATGAACATTTTATCGCCTTCAAAGTTGGGGGGAGGGGTCATCGTGTAATCTTTGTACTTGATAATCTGAACCAGCCAGTGAATGACCGCGAGCAAGTTGGGCCAGGAGTGGGGCGTGCCGGGAGCACGCAGGGCGGATTTGTTCAGTTTGAAGGGGCATCTGAGGAACTTCAGAGCGTGGCCGAGATCTTCGTCGATCTTCTGCGAGGTGAACCCGAGGCGGTGCAGCAGAAATTTTAGGGTCTCGGTTATGTCCTTTGCGGATGGCAGAGGGGGCTTCAGGGCGAAAGGGACAGATTGTGAGGCGAGGTAGGAGTTGATGGTTCTGAGCACGGCGAATTGGTGGGAGCGGTCGGAGAAATTCGGGAGGGCAGGGGAAGGGCGGACGACAGAGGCGGTGGAGGGACGGCTGCTGGCGTCTGATTCGCGTCTTGGGACTGGTGTGGCCAGAAAATGCCATGGATCGGCGGTGCTGGTGGGAGTAGGAGGCGGCGGGCGGCGGTCCGGGCATATGGATTCCGTTGGACGGCGGCGTCCCCTCATCGTCTGTAATTAGTTTTTTGGGTTTCCCGCCTAGAGTGGTAATACTCATAGTTTTGAGACCCGACGGGGCCGGCGGTCGACCCGGGACCCGATTGATTTGGAGCTGTAACCGGTCCGAGTGGGTTATTTGGACCGAGCAACAAAGGACGTGGTCAAACCCGCTAACCCGACCTTGACCCGGTCGACACGGGGTATTGACCAATGCGTCAACCCGGTTGACTCGATTCCTATATATTTTTTTTAATTTTTTTTATTTTTTAAAACATTTTTTGTTTTTAAGATATAAAACTATGAATATATATTTACATGATAAATATTTATCATGAAATATATATTAATAATATATTAATGTAGAAATTTTATATGCAAAACATTTAATTTTATACTTTTATGTATATATATGACAAAATATTTTATACATTTTCAAAATTTAAAAATTAATTATCCAGTTCAACAATTGACCCATCTGGCGGTTGAACCGGTGACCCGATGACCCGGAGACATACTCGGGTCTATTCCCGGGTCGGGTTTAAAAACTATGGTTGATATAGCCCTATTATCATAGCCGATTCAGATGCTAACTACCTAACCGAGCAAACACTGAACGACATCATTAAGTCGACTTGGCCCATCGGCCATCTGAAGACCATTATCGGCCTGATAACGGCCTCAAGACGACTCTAGGAAGTCGAATGAGTATAAGACGACTTCCCTAAAAAAGACGAGCAGACATTCCAGGAGTCTCGGGCGCACATATAACCTTAGGTCGACTTGGCAAAGCCCCAAGTCGACTTATAAGACCTCCGACGACTTGACACACTTAGGTACAACAGAGGGAGAATCTCCAAGTGAGACTAAGATCACATAGGATATAAGAAGGAATCTAGATGCTGACTCAGGAGTGGGCGGAATACAAACCGACCAGGGCATTTTGGACACTTCGGGTAAGTCGGCCAGGGCATTTTGGACACTTCGGGTAAGTCGGCCAGGGCATTTTAGGTACTTCAAATAAGTGTTCCTACTCCTATATAAAGGAGCTGAGGTAACCCCAAACCCTGACTTTCATTCTCTCCATTCATTATTCAGCTGCTGCTCCTACTGTGCAAGGCTCATTTTCTTCTCTCTCACTGACTTGAGCGTCGGAGGCTCTTCACCAGAAAACACTTCCGGTGTTGAGTTCTTGCAGGTGTTCACGGCAGCTCACGGACGACTTATAGACGATTCAAACAGACCGGAATTCATTTCCACCGGTTCACTCCAGATCTAGGAGGAGACCCATCAAATTGGCGCCGTCTGTGGGGAGTTCTTGAAGAAAGTAAGAGCTTTGCACCTAGTTCCGATCTGTTTGACATGGCGGAGAAGGAATGACTGTCGAGAAATCTGAGCGAGGACTTTTGGGCAACGTGGACAGATAAAAGGCCGCCGTTGATTCCTGGCCCTAGACCACCACTTCAGGTGCTCGGTTTCTCGTCGTTCGGAGGGCACGCGCTGTCGGGAGCGCGTATGGAGGAAGAAACACCCATCACACCACTTGGGGTGAAGATTCCAGGGCTAACACAAGGAGGATCTAGCCAGACAAGGGCCACCGACACGGGAACCGACGAGAATGAGTCGACCAAAACGGCTTTGAGCTTTGGAAAGCAGTCTGGAATGTTGGAGCAAGGGGAGAGACCACCACCCCAGGTCGAGGAGCAAACGATGACTATGACGAGGAGTGAGATGCAGAGAATGATTGTGGAGGCGGTGGCAGTCCAACTCAAACAGGTTCAAGTCGAGCTGCCCGGGGTCGAGCAACCCAGGGTCGAACAACCTAGGATGGAGCAACCTAGGGTCGAACAACATAGGGTCGAGTTGCCACCCCGTGATCACGAGCAACAAGCCCAGTCCAATGATAGGTAGATCAGGAGGGTGGAAGAGGAAGCATCCTCCATTAGGACTGCCAATCCGCAGGCGAGAGACGAGACACTGGAGCAGTTGTTGGCCCAAGTTCGCGATTTACAGGCCCGAGTCGAGGAGAGGAAAGTTGGAGGCTCAAGGGGACATCCGTTCTCGCAGCACATTCTGGACGCCGACCTGCCGCAAGGTTTTCATGATCTAAACATAAGTTATGACGGGTCGACTGACCCATCTCGTCATATGAGGAGTTTCGAGAATATGGCGGTTCTGCATCGTTACAATAACCCGGTGCAATGTTGAGCTTTCCTGACGACTTTGCGGGGATCTGCGCAGGATTGGTTTCATCAACTACCAGCGGGAGCCATCAAGGACTTTGAGGGATTCAGTGCGAGCTTTCTCAATCAATTTGCAAGTGTCAAACCGCAAGAAAAATCGTATCTGACCCTGATGGGTATACAACAGAAAGAAGGCGAGTCACTGCGAGACTATGTGGCAAGTATACGCGAGCATGCGTCGAGGTGCCCAGGACGTCAGAGGAAATAAAGGCGGGAGGCTTGACTCGAGGGTTGTTACCGGGCTTATGCAGGAATTCTTTGGCAAAGCGCCCGGGTAGAACGTTCGATGAGGTATTGGGAAGATGCGCGAAGTACATGAATGTCGAGGAAGCCGAAGCCGACTTCTTGCAAACAGTTAAAGCGAGTAAAGTTGACTCTCGGGATGAGAGGAGGGAGAAGAAGAGTTCCTCGACTGGGGAAAAAAAGGGGTCCCCACGAGCAGAGAGAGAAGGGCGATCTAGGGGTTAGAGGCCGACTCAGTACACCCCTTTATCGGCCCCTCAAGCGCCGATTTTGGAGGTAATGGAAAGGGAAATTCATGACAATGTTGTCAGATGGCCCAAGACGAGGAAGGATGGACCAACAAGGCCCAAAAGTAATCTGTACTGCCAATTCCATAAGGATTATGGGCACAATACCGACGACTGTAGGCATCTCAAGGACGAGATCGAAAGGCTGATTAAAGCAGAACATTTGAAGGAATTCATATACAAGGATCGAGAGAAGTCAAGCAGGAGGAGAGAAAGAAGCAGGAGGATCTCGTACAAAAGGAAGCTCTACTAATCCATTAAGACAACAACCAGAATAATCCGGACAAACTGGCTTCAGACGATGATCTTTTCTTTCATCGTACCAAAACTTTGCTCCGCAAGATTTAC